AACCAGTTTAAAGAAGCATGCCAAACTGAGAAAATTTCAAGGATGAGTGCACAAATCTACAATTATAATGGGGAGGTTCACTTTCTCTCTTTTGAGACACCATAAAACGAGCATAAATTAATAAAGACATAGCAGACTCAAAATCACAATCAACCAAAGTTGAAATAATTGGCATTAATAGAGCATTTCATTCAGTACTGTGATAGCCAATACACCAATGGTTAGGTCAGCACCACGATCTAATCCTCTCTAGGAATGATGTGATAGGCACCCAGAGAAAGGCATCTCTCAATTCAAACAAGTGATCAATCAAGATTGGTTATCACAGTCAGAATCCTATAGGCTATTTTATCCCACTTTTATTCAACATTGTACTGGTGGGTCTAACTAACTCACTAGTAATGCAAGAAAGGAAAACAAGGCAAGTAGACTGTCAGAGAAATAAAATATTATTTGCAAGTATAATTAGTATATTTAGGATTGCTATAATAAAGTATCATATAATGAATAAATCGGTTTATTTTTCATCATCTGGGAACCTGGGACTTCAAGCTCATGGCACCATCTGAAATAGTGATGGATTGTTGTCTACTTCTTACAAGCTACTTCCTTAATGTGTTATCTCATAGTGAGGGGGACATGAAGGCTCTCTCATGCTATTCCATATAGACATGAATGTCATTCATTATATTCCAAAGCCCTTTTTGCTGAGCTACCCACTAAAGAACTCTCACTTCTTAATTCTGTCACATGTGATTTTTGAAGATACCATCACTCAGACCATAGTGTATATAGATAATTGAAATTTTTAAAAGTAAATAAAACTACTTATAATAGCATCATGCTCTTGACTAGAGATAGAGTGAGCAGAAGTGTTAGACCCATATACAGGAAACTGCGAAGCTTGGTAAAGCAGTGTGTTAAGGCTGGCTAAAGTTTGAGTCTGAAATTTCCCAGAGAGGGTCATGTTTTGAATACTTGTTCCATATATGTTGGAGCCAATTTGAAAGGCTCCAGAATCTTCAGGAAGTAGGAACTAGTTGGTACAAATAGGTCATTAGGGCACAGACCTTTGAAGATACACTCACTCCCCAATTACTGTCTTGCTTTCTGTACCCCCATCCTCCAAGATATACAAAGTCTCTGCCACACACTCCAGCCACCGTGAACTAAGCTGCTTTGCCATGCCACCCCTTCACCATGGAACACTGACTATCATTAGAAACTGTGAGTCAAATGCAACCTTGTCCCTCTCCCATTGCTTCTGTCAGGAATGGTGGCCACAGTGTTAAGAAAGTGCCTGACATCAGGCTTCACAAGAGAATGCCTTACTGATTTTCCTCGACTAGCTAAAATGTTGAATGAAAAATGTGGTTCCTGTTTTTCAGCACCACAGAAATGTATTCTAGAAAAGAATCTCAAATGTGTTTAATGTGAAAATGTTTCAAATGAGTGTTTAACTTGGAAAGATTTCTTCTTTCAATAGGTATTAAGTGCTTAACAGCTGTCAGTCTGTTTTATACTGGGTAAAGGGGTGAAGTGTCCATATCATGGAACTATTATCAAACATGTGGGTAGAAAACAAAAATATAAAATACAAATAACCCAGAAGTTATACTCAGTGCTGTATAAATTAAAAAATACAGGAAATAGGAGGCTGCTATTTAGATAGTGTGGTCATAAAAAGCCTGTGTGGGTTTTGCAACCATAACCAAAGCAAGAAGAACCAACAAACAAGAGAAAGAGCTTAAGGAGCAACAACTGGGGAAGCTCTAGGTAGGCCAATGGAGAGTGGAGGGAATTCTATCCCAAAAGCAAAAAGATCAAATTTGACTAGAGTTTACGGAGAGTGAAGAAAGGGGAAAGCTTAATATAAACGAAGCAGGCAGAGACCAGATTATACAGGGTCATGGAAGAACTGCGATTTTATTCAAAGTGAAGGAGGAAGCTATTTGACACATTTTAAAAAATCACCATTGTATCTATAGGAATGTATATGGGAGAGTGTGTATGGGAGGGTGTGTCGGGGAGGGTGTGTGGGGGAGGATGTGTGTGGGTTGCAAATACAACAGCATGTGGATGGAAGTCAGAGCATCTATATAGTTGATCTCTACTTTCACTTTTTTTGTTTTATTATTTTTCATTTATTTTACATACCGACTAGTTTCCTTTCCCACTTCTCTTTCCATTCCCTCTCCCACCTACCGTCTACTCCCACCACCACCACATTCACCCCTCCTAGATTCAGAAAGGAACAACAAAACAAGGCATATTAAGTTAAGGCAGAACCAGGCCTCCCTCCCACCCCCCGCGCCTGCATAAAGTCTTGGATAGGCATCCCAGTATAATGAATAGGTTCCAAAAATACAAGCTCATGGGCCAGGGACAGATCCTGAGACCACTTCTAGGGGTTCCACAAAAACAAAAGCAAAACAAAAAACAAAAATAAAACAACAAAAAAAGCTACACAACTGTCACTCACATGCAAAGGGCCTAGGTTGATACCATGCAGGCTCCCCAGCTGTTGGTCTGGAGTCAATGAGTGCCCACTAGCTCAGGTCAACTGCCTCTATGGGTTCCCCACCATGATCTTGAGCCCCCTTGCTAGTACAATTCCTCCTCCCTTTCTTCAACAGGACAGTGGAGTACCAGGAGTTGAACTAGAGTTATCAGTCTTCCACATTAAGTACTTTGACCCCCAGAGCCAACCAACAAGCCCCATTTTATAAAAAGGCTAGAAACACAATTATATATATATATAATATATATTTGCTTAATTTTTAGCAGTGGGTTTCATATTGCAGCTGATCTGTCATTCACTATGTAACCCAGACTGCCTTCATTTCAAACTCATGCCATATCTTTCTGAGTGCTGGAATTACAGGGACAAAACACCACATCTGATTCTTGATTTTTTATTTTTAACAGAATACCAACTACTGTAATGGAGAATCAACAGGAGACAAAATAAATGAAACATAAACACATGAACATACTGAATTATATATAAAACTTTTATTTAAACACAAAAACGTTTATTGCAGGTCTTGAAAGAAATACAAAAAGAGAACACTACAATATAAAGCCACTCAAGATTGAGCTTCTGAAATATAGTTGAAAATAAACTAGTTAAGAGACTGAAAAGAACAGTCCATATGATGATTTTAAAAATACAACCCACTCCTCTGAAAAATAAAGAAGCCTGCCGTGTGTGGGAAAACAATAATGTCCTTGGTAAATATACAGTAGTAAGGCCCAGATTTTTAATACAACTGGCGAAAAATTACCTTAAATCTAGTTGGTTTAACATTACTGAGACTTCCAACGAAACCAATTTGTAGAGATAATCTCTCAACTCAAACGTCCACAGATCAAAGAGTTTTCGAGCTAGTCTCCCACTAAAATATCCTATACTACTTGACAAAAGCAGGCTCCTTGAGTAAGGGCCAACAGAACAGTAAACTGGGGATGTAGAATTCTGCAAATGGGAAACTATAACTTTATACAGATGGATTTTATTAGCTTTTATTATATCTTGCTGGTGCCTTGATTTGCATTTAAGGACAAGGCAGATCTTTTAAAATACCATAATTACCATATGCATTAAGTTTAGTGACAAATCTTGAAACTCATAGAAGGAAAATGAATACATAAAATATGAAATGAATGTGTAACAGGGAGTACACAAATTGGTTTAACATTGTTATTGGGTTACTAGTAAATGGCTATTGTATGCAGAGGACAAACTGAATAAATTACCAGATTGTGACTGCTTATTACACACTATTCTGGAGTGAGTTAATGTATACATGTAAACTTGAATGCAACTAATCCTTTTAGATGGCATGTTATCTTTTAAATGCATTGAAAATAAACTCATCTTTAAGATAAAAAAATGTGTGACATCCTTGTATTTTGGAAAATCTGTTAAGTTTTCAAGTTGAAAGATTACAAGAAAGATGTCTAACATCTCTCTGATACTTATCTAAACGGAACCGCTCATTCCAATCTTCGGTGCCATGCTTTATTTTCCAGTATACTCCTCTATTTCAACTTGACTAAAAATATTGACTCTTGCCGGGTGGTGGTGGCACACGCCTTTAATCCCAGCACTCTGGAGACAGAGGCAGGTGGATCTCTGTGAGTTCGAGGCTGGGGTGGACTGACAGCCTCCAAAACAACACAGAGAAACCTTGTCTCGTAATCACCCCCCAAAAAATATTGACTCTTACGCCAAAAATTAATACTCTGAAATTTCAAATGTAGCCAAGGTAATGTGGTTTTGGTTGTTAGCAAAAATAGTGGGGAAAAAGTTTTAAAATGGAATAATTGGTCTGTTAAAAAATACTGGCCTACGTATTTTTTAATCTTCTAAACACTACTTAAAATGAGAAATGGAAGATCAAGAAGTTAGCTTTAGGCAAAAGAAGAATTCATCAGTTAGGACTTGAGTGTGGTGTGGTGAGGCTTGTGAATTGGAGGCCAGCAAAATCTCTTGGGATACTGAGACTCATTCATCATAGAAACAAGAAAACAAAACAGGTGGGAAGCAAGCGAAATCTGCGAGTTGCTCTTGTCTGGCAGAGAACTGGCCATTGGTTACACTCCTTCCAGCCATGTCGGTGCCGCTCCACGACTCGGGACCTACAAACGAAGGACGCTCCCGCCCAGCCCACCTCCCAGGCAACCCAGCCTGCAGGCTCCGCACAGCAGGCCACCCAGGCCACCCAGGCCCCGCCTACCTTCCGGCCTCCCCTGCCACTGCCTCCTCGCCGGATGTCCTCCGGCCTTCCTCACGTCCCCATCGCCCCGCTTTCTCTCCGAGGGATGGGGCAAGAAGAACAACAGCCCGGAACAGAGGCTTGTGAAGGGAGGCGCAGGGCCGGGCGGCGCGGTCCGCCGAGACGGCTCTTCAGGCATCGCTTGGGGCAGCCCCACCGGCGCCCTCACCTGAAGCCCGAGGGGGCCTCGCGCCGCAGCTCGGCGCGCTGATTGGCTGTTGGCCGTGCCGCGGAAGGAACCCGGATGTGCCGGGGGAGCTGTGTTGGCAGTCTGCGAGCTGAGGTTTGGGCGCTCTTGGGGTCTCCAGGGCCGGGCGGATGGCTCAGGATTGGGCGGGCTTCTCTGAGGAAGAGCTGAGGAGACTGAAGCAGAATAAAGGTAACGAGCGTGTGCGCGCGGATGCGGAGTCTTGAGTCTGTGGAGGACAGGAGGCCTTGCGGGTGGGTGAGGGGGCGTGGGGCCTGCGGCTGCAAGTGGGCGGGCAGGGAGGGGGCTCCCCAGGTGGGTGTCTAGCAGCCCAGGCCGGGGGCGGACCCGGAGGGTTTCCCTCTTAGGATCCGTTTTTCGGTGAGTTTTACTTTTTCCTGTGGAAAAGGAATGAGGCTAGAGAGAGAGAGAGAGAGAGAGAGAGAGAGAGAGAGAGAGAGAGAGAGAGAGAGAGAGAGAGGAAGCGAGGCTACTACCCGAATGGCTCCTACCGAGAGGATTAGAGCACGAATAAATGGTTGCAGACTTGGGGTCAGAGTGAGTGAAGAGGAGCATTGCATACATGGCATCATAATTGTGGTGAGCTTATAAAAGCAGTTATTGGGAAAGGGAATAAACGCAAAAGAAGTGATTTTTTTATGATACATCTGTATTGCGTTTACTTCTGGTTGCCAGATGATTTTTCTCTTCTTTCCAGTTCTTGGGAGTCAGCAAACCAAAAGGATTTTTGAGATATCATTTTGGAAGCGCGCACCTGTGTTTGTATGCACGTGCACAGTACACTCACATGTCCCTACTGCCTTCAGGGCCAGCCAAAATCTCATGCCCTTCCCCGGGGGCTTTATGGAGTAATTCTATATCATTGAATGGGCTTGCTGTATTATGCTGCTTCTGATTAACTTTTCCTATACTTGGTAGGAAACGATATAAAACGCCCTTGACCTGAGATTGAAATTTCACAAAGATATATGTGGTAATCTTGGTAGTGCCCATCACTTCTGTGCGAACTTTAAATCGTCCTGTGTCTGTGGTTAGTGAGAAAGGTGGGTGTGGCTCAGGTAATTTTTCTCCTAGATGTGAGAATTATCAAGGGCTGACTTGTGCAAAAGGAAGTAAATTGCTAATTTGGGGTCAGTGTACTTTGTACACATTGGGGAATATTGTAAGTTTATACTGTCAGGCGTGTCCAACTGATTCTGGCCGGCTGGATGCCTTCAGAGTCTTTTGTTATGTGATTTCGTTCTCCAGCCCCATTCCTGTGTGTACAAAGTGCAGGTGCCATGTTTCTGATCTGACTTTCAAGTTTTGGGTGTCAGCTTCTGAATTAGGTATGTTGTCTGGCCCAAAGACCTTTCATCCTTGTCAAGGGGAATGCTAACCTGTCATGCAACACAACCTCTGTATTAGAGATGTAAAGATAAGCAGGACATCTTTGCCTTCAGTGAGCTTGTAGATTAATGAGACAGGTGGTCAAATAATGCGGTAATAGATACTATACAGCGGTAACCATAGAGCAGCTTCTTGCTGAGGATTTAATGGACGATGGGGATATTTCATGGAGATTAAATGTTAGCAGGTTAGTTAGCCAGGGCAAAGGTTATAATGTAGGACTCTAATATGTTTGTTATGTAAAAATATATCTTAAAGTGTTTCTGTAGTTTGGGTTTGGTTAGAAGGTGATAAGGACCTGAACATCAAGGCCTGTCATTTGGTGGTGAAATTTAGACTATGGATATAAATTCACTTATCTATGACTGCTGTGAGAACACAGGAAGCATCTTTGCATCTCTGTGTAGCCAAAGTGGAACAAAGTGATCAGCAAAGAAACACCAAGTCTTCTACCTTGGGCTTCCCATTTTGAAAGCCTCAGAAATTGAATCTGCAATGCAGCTGTAAAGCGTGAATAATCTGGGAAGATGGGATTGGTTGCTGGCAAAAATATGAACAGTGCTTTTGAAACACTTGAGTGCTCATGTAGTCAGGAATGTTCTTATCCATCTTGTTTATAATGTTCAAAAGTTAAAAACAGACCAATTGTCTACTTACAGGTGAGAGGGTAAATAACGTACTAGTAGACTCATTAATTTATAAATTACATAAATATATGCAAAAGGAGCAAGTTGCAGTTGAGTAGATTTGGTCTGATAGAGTTTATATATGAACAAAATTATGTGACACAGGTGTATATTAAGACATTATATCTGAAAGGATCAAAAGAATGAAACAGAATTCTGATTGGTAGAGAGGCAAGGGGATGTGATTAGGGAGGGACAAATACAGCAGTATTGGTAATTAGGAAATCAGGCTAAAACAGTTTAAATTGAAGCAAGGAAAAACTTTAACATAGCCAATTGTTTAAAATAATGAAGGTTTATTTTTCAGCTTAGTGTCATGTGTAACATGGGTTGCCAGGTGAAGCTGAAATACACTCATTCCACTCTGACTTTTGATGCTGTTACATGAGAGTTATTTGTGGCAGGGAGAAAAGAAGATTTGAAATTGAATATTAGTAATTAAATGCTTTCTCTAGCAAATAACTTTAATAAAAGTAAGTCATAATTTTAGGGCCTGGAAACATTTGTGTGTATCTGAAATGGGGCATATGTCAACTACAGTCGCTGACATCTTAAACTAAATTATTTTCAGTCATACAGATTCACTCATATATATGTGTATACACACACACATATACACACATATGATTTGTGGTTGCTTTCATATGTAAAAAAATGGAAGGATGCAGTGCAACCATGTTCTGCCAGTTTTAAGATAACTATGTATTTCTGTGTGTCCTTTATTATTCTTTATGATTTATTTATTGTATGTATTATGTGTATGGGCCCTTTTGCCTTGGCCAGAGCATGGGCATGGTAGTCAGAGAATGTCTTGTAGGAATCAGTGGGTCTTAGAGTTCAGAACTCAATCTTCAGGCTTCTTGACAAATGTCTATACCTGCTCAGCCATCTCACCCACTTGCCTTTATTCTTGATATCAGTATTCACTCTAGTGCCTTTGTTCTTATTTACTAATTTCCCTGCAAGTCTGAACATTTACATTTTTATACAAAAGCTTTTTAAACACTTTTACCAAATTTCAGGGAATAGCAGTTTGGTTGGGATTGCATGTAAGGAAGTGTAACAGCCAGGTTCACTGAAGTAAAATTGAAACTAACCCAAGTGTCCCTTGGTAAGATCAGTAAACTCTGGATTTGTCACTCTGTGATATGGTGCAGACCTTGAAATGAATGATTGTAACAGTGCTGATAGAGTGAGTAAATATTATCAATATGTTGCTAAATAAGGAAATATTTGTACGATACACTTTGTAAAATTAATACTTTTTAGAAATATTTGTAGACTGATAAGGAAATGATCAACACATGATTCAAAAGATATTGGAGCAGGGATAGAGGGTAGGGCTTAAGTAGGAGATGTAGAGTAGATCTCACAAATGTAGCCTGTTGGCTAAGTTACACACACACGGAAAGTTATGTGGGGGCTGAAGAGAAGACTCATCAGTTAAAGAGCTCTCTCTGATCTTCCAGAGGGCCTGGGTTAAGTTCCCATCACCCACTTGACTGCCAACAACCTTAAGTAACTAAGGTTCCGTGGGATCTGACGGCCCCTTCTGGCCTCTGAGGTCACTGCATGTACACCCAGTACTTACTTACATGCAAGCAAAACACTCATATACATAAATTAAAATCTTTAAAAATATTATTTGACTTTTCAGGACTTTTCCCTTCCTGCTTTTGAGTATTCAATTTTTAAAATGTTAATGGTAATGATAATCATAAGTACTGTTTACAAAAGTAACATGTGCTTGTTGGCCTTGTTTTTGTTTTTTGTTTGTTTGCTTTTTGTTGTTGTTGTTGCTTTATAGTTCTGAATATTGAACCCAGAGCCCCTTGCCTGGCCTGTAGCTGGAACATGCCACTGAAAATTAAAAGTTTCTTTCCACTATAGCATAACCTAGGTTCTTATGATTGATAGAGTTCCCTACATTTAAAACCTCATGCAATTTGTATAACCCTGATGTTTAAGAACTGGGACCAAAGCTAAGTGGTAGAGCACTGACCTGGCATGTGCTAGGTCCTGGGTTCAATCCAGACCGCAGAAAAAATACAAATAGAAATCAGTTTTCAAGTACCTGTTTTTAATTGTGAAAACCATAGAGTCTGGCTCTGTTGACCTAAATTGCTCCAGTGACAGCAGCTGACTGGAAGTGACTGTGGCTAGTCCTCTTATGCACTAGATTTATACTCCTTGGCAGGCCCTGGTTTTGATATTTATAGTTTCCAGTACTAGTACTTAAACAATGTGTTCTATTTTTACATGTCCTAATTTGTTTATTTATTGCTAGTGGAAAGTGAATCATTTTATCTTTACTTTGTAACAATATAAAGGAAAATAGATATAGTTGAATTACAAAGGGATTATTAACTATTCAGTTAATTTTTTTACAAAATAGCCTCAGTGATATTTTCTGATGGTGTAAATATGAACAGTAACCAACAATAAGCTCCTATGGCAAAATGGAGGAGGGTAATTTGTGCTTCTGAGAAAAGTGCATCTTAGTTATTTTTCTTGTGACTGTGATAAAACACCCTGACAAGCACAGGCAGTGGTAGAGCATACCTTTAATCCCAGCACTCGGGAGGCAGAGGCAGGCAGATCTCTGTGAGTTTGAGACCAGCCTGGTCTATAGCGGGAGATCCAGGACAGGCTCCAAAGCTACACAGAGAAACCCTGTCTCCAGAAATAAACAAACAAAAAAGCAACTTAAAGGAAAAGTGATTGTGTTGACTCATAGTTGGAGAGTACTGGCCATCTTGGTGAAGTCCTGGAGACAGAACTTTCAGGTAACTGGTTGTGTCACCTCTAAAAGCAGAGAACATGAATGCCTGTGCTCAACTCACTTTCTCCTTTTTATACACTACAGGAAATGAGTCCAGGGAATGGTGTCACTTACAGTGGGTGGGTCTTTGCACCACAATTAATCTATTCAAGATAATCTACCACACGTATACCATATGACCATCTCCCAGGTGACTGTAAATCGCATCAAGTTGATTCAAATTAACCAACATAGTCCACAGTTCGGGTATTACCTCTGTCTTCTTATAAAACATTTTCCATACATAACTCATTCTTGCATTGCCTCCATGGGTAAAGTACAGCAAATAGTTACAACTGGTATGGCAGATGTAGAGTCCATTGAACTAGTCTGAAGCCAAACTAATGACTGCAAAGATTTCAGCTCTACTTTGGAAAGTTTAAATTCATAAACTTGTACTTCAGAGGTCAGTGTGTAGATTTTAAACATCAAATATGACAAGTATTTTGTTTGTTTGGTTTTTGTTTTCTTTCAGTACTGGGAATTGAACATAGGGCCTTGTAAATTCTAGGCAAATGCTGTACCACTGTGTGGCATGCCCAGCCCTAAAAGTCCTATTTCAGTTGCTCACTTGCAAGGAATAATAAATTTCCACAGTGTGATTTTGTAGGTCATTAAACGCATCATGAGAGTGAAATTTCCCACTTATCTGCCCTAAGAGTTTATAATCTTGGTACAAATATTTCTCCCAAAACAAGCACTGTTATTTCATTGTGCTTTTAAAAAAAATCCCGGTAATTATTTCATCTCTCTCTGTTGTTTGTTTCAGGATGCTGTTAAAATTAGTTTAAATGCATTAATTAGAACTTATCTGGTCTTTGGTGAATATGTCAGCTAAAACAATTGAAGTAAGTAGCATTATTCTAGGATGAAAATCTAAGGGAGAGGGTTCTCATTTGAGAACTAGCCATTAGTTGTATTTGCACAACAGGGAAAATCATGAATCAAACCAACAATAGTAATATTTCAGAGAATCCAATTGACTGCCTAGTTGCATCAAATTAGTTCTTTCATAGTCCTTAAGTTAAAATGAAAACTTTGCCTTGTGCCCTCAGATCTATGTCAGTGACATAGATTTCCTATAAAGATGAATTGAGAAAGAGGCTGGTTTTTGTTAAATATTAGTAGTGGGATATAAGAACATTTGAACCCAGGAAAATGGTTGGTTTTCCTGGACTTTCAAGATAGAGGATGGGACCTCTATAATTACAAAATTTAATGCCACTGCTTTATGTTTTTAGAGAAATGATCGTTATTTGATGTTCACACAAGGACTCTTCATTTGCTCTCTTTTATATAGATCTGTTTGAAACTCAGCGCCGTCTCCCTGTGAAAAAAACTCGACAACAGCTTCAGCGAGAAAAAGCCCTTCTAGAGCAGAGCCAAAAACTTGGTCTTCCAGATGGATCAGCCTCTTTACCTCCAGAGCAGCAGCTCTCTACACCCAAACAGAGGGTTCACAATCAAAAACCAAGTCCTTCCCCGGCGGTCCCTAGTCCTGTCACACTCACCTCTTCCACTGGCAATGGGAAGACACAAGGTACTGAAAGTCAGCCGCAGGAAGCATGGCTTCAGAATTCCCATGAGGGCCACAGAAATGCCGAAATTCTAACTCCAAAGCCAGTTTGCAAAGTGGAAAAAAAGAAAATGGAATTGTTAGTAAGTCTGTGAGACTTTTCATCTTTTCTCCAGGGACTGGGAAGAAATATAGTTTGTTGGGTTGTAGTTTTGTTTGTTTTTTGTTTTGTTTTCTGCCTAGAAATGAAATCAGTAAACTATTGAAAAGACTCAACCACCTAAAATATATTATGAGCTAAATATTTTGTTTTGTCATTATAATTCATGCTTATTGTTTTCACCTTATAAAGGAGCTATCTAGGACTTAGGAAAAATACTGTTTTCTTAACCGTTAGGCCTGTAGCACATTCCTGTAAGCATAGCACTTGTGTAAAGGAAGGAGCTCTCAAGTCTTGACACCAGAGTGATCTACATAGTGACTTCCAGGCTAAGCTGAGCAGTATAGCAAGACCCTTTCTCAAATTTATACACAAATACAAAGAGGCAGGGGACTGTCTTCTTAAAGCTAACATATATAGCCAGTAAGTAATAGAGTTGAGACAAATTTGTATTAGAATCTATAGTTTAGCTCCACCCATATAGAGATTTCCATTTGCTAACTTTTGAATTCTTAGTAATGGGAAGAAAAGATTTGATTTGTTTTTGTTTTTCCCAGTATCAGCTATAGTCCTCATCACCGCTGCTGATTTTGTGTCATGAGAGTCCTACCTACCAGAGTTTTGTGATGTAATTCATTTTGATGAGATATATAAAATCACATGAATTAAGTTTGCTTGCTTGGTTTTTGGTTTGTTTTACAACAAAGCCTTACTGTATTGCTCAGGAAGGCTTTGAGTTTATGATTGAGATGGACAACTTAGATGAGATGTCATTAGGAATATCATTGGTGTAACGTGTTGCCTTCCTGCCAGCCTGATCCCTGAGCTGCATCAGTCCCAAATAACACACAAGACACTATATTAATTATGAAGCTGTTGGCCATTTGCTTGATTTCTTATCAGCTAGGTCTGACTTGATTATTAACCCATAATTACTCATATATATTTTACAAGAACTTATTTTTGCTAGGACGCACTCCTGCCGCGTCCATTCCTTCCAGGAGTCACAGGGAGACCAGCTTCTTCACTACTTTTCCCAGAATCCTCCTAGACTCCTAGTCCCACCTATCTTGTTTTCCTATTGGCCAACAGTGCTTTATTGACTTATACACAGGACTCTCCCATCACATTGGTTTTTAGATACTCTGGGACATTCATGGGAGACAGTAATTTGAGGAACCATTGATTTTTTAAAGGAAGAATCCTGATATGATGAGCTTGGGAAAGAAGAGCTATATCCTATAGTGTTCTATGATAACATCTTGGTTTTCTGGATGAGGCTAAAGAACAGTAGAGAAATAAAAGACAGCAAGGATACCAGAAATGCCTGCTTCCTGGTGTAGCATAATACCAGAGCCCCAGGGGAAAGTGTCCTAGTCAAAGTAGTAATTAGAGAAATGACAGGTATTTGTGTACAGTTTGGGTGAAGGAACTAGGTGAAGCAATCCTGAAGTGTCTGTGGAGTGGGCAATATGAGAAATGACTGGTGCCAATCCTAAGGTGGAAACTGTAGTAACAGAAAAAAAGGGCACGTTTAGAAATGGTTGCTAAGTCAGCCGGTAAAGGTGTTGGATGGTCCAGTGGAAGGAAGAGCTTTGCAACCTTGTTTGTATTGGTAGCTTCATAACTATGGAAGTATTCATGTGCCCTTTTCAGAATTGGGCATGTTAGAAGCTATAGAACATGTTTTCAGTCTTTGACGTCTGTGTTAGTATATTCCATTTGCCTTGAGCTAGGACAACTACTCATTTAAAACTGTCAGAGTTGGAGATAAAGGACTCAGCAGATTGTATTTAGATGTATTTGTACGTACATATATGTGTGTGTGTGTAATGATAAAGGCTATCAACTTGAGGGGGGATATGGGAGGTATTGGAGGAAGGAAATTCTGTTTCAATTAAAAACCTATTTTAAAAACAGTTGAAGAAAAGTGAGCAAATGAAAAGAAAATGTAATAAATAAGCACTGGTTGTTACCTTAAGATGTTAAGAAAGTCCAGACTTTATTCATAAAGAAAATTCTAAAAGGTAAAGCATGACAGTAACCTCAGACCAATATATACTGACTTCCATTTTACATATGTTATTATCCACACACACATTTCTTTGTACCCCTAAAAGAATGTCACAGTACTTGGGCTTCCAGTTTGTGGGCTCCTAGATTATACACATATATAGATTTCAAAGGTCCAATTTATGGAAGGCTCTTTACTTCAGCTTGTGTTCTTTGTTCTTATTAGAATAGAATAATGAGCTGCAGATGGGTTTCCTTTAAAGGGATTTTTGAAAGAAATATATGTAATCTGCCTGATTAAATTTTATATGTACGAGACAGGCTGGTAAGGTGTGGGGTTGGGTCACAGTCTTTTTAAAATTCATTTTTGCGCCTTTTTTTTTCCAGGCAAGAAAAATCTCGTTGGGAAGTCCTCCAACAAGAACAGCGACTAATGGAAGAGAAAAATAAACGTAAGAAAGCCCTTTTGGCTCAAGCCATTGCAGAAAGGTGAGGTATCTGGGTCAGGGGCTTTAGACTCACAGTCATCTCTTAGAGCTTATGTTTATTTTCCCATGCCTTATTCAATAAACCAGTACTTCATTGAAACTCTTAGAAGACAAATTATGCTTTAAATGTAATGATACTGAAATTCTAGTTTTACCTTTTGAAGGAGAATTGTTTTTAAGTAATGAATCACAATGTTTTTGTGGTATCAGCTGCAAGTGAAGAGCTCGCCACATCACTGTCAACCATCTGTTAACACACAGTCACATGGCAGCAGAAATGGGTATCAGTGTTGTAAGTGAGAAGCAAGTGCAGGCTTTAGTTTTGATGTGGAAAGTGTTGGCATCCAGCATGTAGAGGGTAAGTGTAGTACAGGAGTGACTAACACTGTCATAAACTTTGATTGTGTTGCCTACTGGCATGTTTCTTAAATAGGTTGCTGTGTTTTATTGGTAGCTTACAGCAGTCATCATATAGTCTGCATGAGGTTTGATTGTTTCTCCCCCCACACCTTCAGTGGTAGTTAAGTTTCAGTAATCTCTTCTCATACACTGTATCATATGGGCCCAAACTGCAGGATTCTCCTTGTAAGCCATTCATTCCTGTCCCTGCTGCTTTCCTATGCTTTGAGTTTGTAATTCCAGTTCCCCTGTGGTCTTAAGCTGTGTCAATAAAATCCTGATTGGACTGAATGCAAGCAAATATTCAATGATGTGTTGCTTTTAAGACCTCCAATTAGGAGAGGTGGGACATGCCTGCAATCCTAGCACTCCCAAGACTGAGGCAGGAAGATTGGCCTAAATTCAAGGTTGGCCTAGGCTGCACAGCTCCAGCGCAAGACCCTGTGTTAAACTGTTCCTGCTTGAGGTTTGGATTGGTGGAAGGGCAGAAGAGGTGAGAGGATAGGTAGATATAAGAATAATTCAGAGAGAGAAACATTTGAAAAAAGATTGTTTCCCTTTAGAACAATTTCTCATGAAGTGTAATAAAGATATAACTCACAGGTTGACTCTTCTTTCAAGAAAAAGAACAAACTGTAAATAGTACCATCTTTTTCCCCTGAGTAACTGATTAGCTTTAAAAAAGGATTTTCTTCGTCTTTACTAAGAGTAGAGACTGTTTATTGGGGATTTTACCAAAGAACTTAGGTGTAGTCAGCTTGTAGTGCTACAGACCTGTAGTCCAGGTAGAGGCAGGAGAATTGTGAGCGCAAAGCCAGTCTGGGCCATGTTGTCCCCTGTTTTGAAAAGAATACGTAGTTGCCATACTTCTCTGCTATTGATTTAAGACAGGGTAACAGGAGACAGATATGCAGGGAAACGCAGCATGATTTTCTTGTTAATACATGATAATGAAATACTTGAAATGAAACTTTGCTGCTTGGTGAACATGGACAGAAAGGGAAGATGAATGCCTAATACAGTAAAAGTCAGGAGTGCAAGCTGTACTGTGGTGGTGTCACTGGGGACAGGTTCTGCTCCCTGGAGAATGTGGGTAAAATTCTGAATGGGTGAATTCATGGTTAAAGATTTGCTTTATGTTTGCTACCCTGCTTCTAGAGTGTGTGTGTGTACTTGGGTACAGTAAGAGGTAGTTAAATGATCAAGTCGGGTGTGCTTTTCAACAGAAGATAATCTGAATTCCACGGAAAATTTTAAGCGCCTGTATACAGTTTCCCTGTGAAACAAGATGAGACAGAAGAAATTGAAATCATAGGTACTCTTAGACGTTGAAATGTTATTCGGTGAGCTTGTGTCTGCATGTCAAGTGAGGGTGAGAGGAGAAAATGAGCTTGGGAGGAGAATGGAATCGTGGGTTCAGAAACCTGTGTTGGATACCTCCATGTGAAGGGAATAGTGACATGTTCCTTCAGAACTGTTTCTTAGAGAATGGATGGAAGCAGAAACTGTTACAAAAATCTAAATTTTTTTCTTTGTTTGTAGAAGTGATATGTACTAATAGAAAATTTAGAAAAACAAGGAGAAAAGAGCGGTTTTTATCAATTCTGACTTTTTTCTGCTTTGAAAAGAATGTCATGAACTATATCATATACACAATCACCGTCCTTTTCCATTATCATGTATGGAAATGTGGTCTTAAAGTGTTTTCCTCCAACTCACACTCCTGGTTTTCCAGATCTAAAAGGACCCAAGCAGAGACCATGAAACTCAAGAGGATCCAGAAGGAGTTACAGGCCTTAGACGACATGGTGTCAGCTGACATTGGGATCCTCAGGAACAGAATTGACCAGGCCAGCCTAGAGTATTCCTATGCACGGTGGGTAGGATAATAAGGTCTGAGGAATCTGTGTGTTACTCACTATGCCAGTGGGTTTTATGTATCTCCAGTAAAGTCTCAAGAGAATGCCGTTACGTGCTAATTCAGGTGGCTGCCTGGCCTATGGCTTGATCTTGTTGAAATTCCTCTTACAGCATTTCCTGAATTACTCATGCCTGATTAGCTCACCACAGAACGGTGTGATTCTAACACCAACTCTATGTTCCTTCCATTAAAATTTTGACTCTTTGATATTGCCTTTATGGAATTGGAGACAAATGTTCACTTTGTTATCAAAGTAAAAAAAATAGGTTATTTTGTAAAAACTTTTGAATATATGCTAGGAATGCTGGTATGTGCTTATATTCCCAGCACTCAAGAGACTGAAGTAGGAGGATCACTGTAAGTTCAAGACCAACCTGGGATACAAGGAGAGATTCTGTCTGAGTAGAAAGAAGAAATACTTGTGGATATATTTTCTTGAATATCCTCTAAGTATTTTGAAGTTTGTTTTTTCCTTGTTTGGTTATATTTTGTACAAAATGGTCTGCTGCCATGTGCTTCCTTGGTTTCAACTGTTGGCATTTTTATAAAAGAAGAAAACATTGTGGAATATTTTTAAAGGGAATAAACACATGTAAAGAATTACATGGACTTTGCAAGCAGATAAAAGGGTAAAAAAAAATATGCCCAGTTTCAGAGTTCTCAGTCACTTCAACATTGCTTTAATCATCCTAGTTTGTGTTTTTTCACAAGGGAATGCTGTGCTTGCTAATGACTCAGCCTTGTATCTTTCTCTGTAACACTAGAAATCAATCAGAATGCTTCATTAGTCTCGGGTAAACCACAACATCAGAATGTTTATATAACAATTTAATAAAGCGGAAATGCTTGGTGATAGTTTTAATTCACTGTTTAGTGTTTAAAAGAGGCCTGTGGTTGTCCTTATGATTTGGGTAATTGTTGTTTGCTCACATGCTATGAATGGGTTGCTTAGTGGACAGCTTAAATTAATTCCATCAGTAGCTGATAACCAGAAGTTTCCAATTTCTGTTACTGTTAAGGAGGTCACTAGGATTTCATTACACATAAACTCAGCCTTGACTGTCAGCACATCTTATTCTCCATAACTGAAATGGCCACCTCTACAGTCTCTCATCTTGGTAGTTCATAACATCTTACAATCCTGGGTACAGCAGACAAAGTCTAATTGTGGGTTTTTATTTAATTATTTCTTTTATTTGATGAGACTATAATTATATCATTTTTCCTTCATTTTTCTCAAACCCTCCAATATACCCCTCCTTTCAAATTCATGGCCTCTACTTTTCAATATTTATTACGTGTGTGTGTGTGTGTTGTGTATGCACAGGCGCTTGTGTGCATGCATGTGTCTATTCATAAATACAATCTGCTCAGTCTATGTTTTACTTCTGTCCTGAGTAGGCTGCAGAAAGATGTACTTTTCACATTGGATATTAGGTAGGAAATGTCAGTATTAGCATTTGAAAACTGTGGACAAGGTAGATTTCTAGTTTTTACTGAAACTTACGCAGAGAGTTCTTACACAGTGTTTCACATCACATATTTTTATTTCACATGTTTAATAAACTGAATAAACTGAAGATAGTATTGCATGATGCTGTTACTGACATAACTGTATGAATGCATGCTAATGTGGGAGGCTCTTTCAAAGGCTAAGCTGTGAAATTAAATCAGAGATGCCATAGATAGTCCTAACTGGAATTCATAAGATTAATACAAAATTTTCTAAATTTATGTTTATGGTTATTGAGCAATTATGGATATTGAAATGATTTATTATATGTGGAAGTCGCATTTCCTTTTTATCCTTAGAAATATATTTTCACTCATTGGCTCATGAGATTTAACATTCATTTGAATGCACTATTCTGAACACTGATAGTTCACTTGCACAATCAGTTTTACTACTTAGACACCAGACTGTGACTCTGTATTGTTTCAGTTTCCTGACACTATCAGCAAACTACCACAAGCTGTATGCTTTAAAACACCAGAAAGTTCTCATTTTACTTCTCTGGAGACTAGAAACCCAAAATAGAGGTGTTAGCAGGCCATGATTTCTAAGAGACCCTATAGTTCAATTTCTTACCCTTTCCGACCTCAGATGGCTATTCTTATTCCTGGACTTGTGGCCACAGTTCTCTATCCTCTGTCTTCCATTACATGTTTCCTCCTGTTTCTTCATTTCCTCTGCCCCTACTTATCATAGGTTCCGTGTGATTGTATTTAGGACCCACTGGAATTCACAATGCCTCCTCTTAAAGCCCTCAGTCACATCTGTTATCCTAGAAACTAACTTCTAAAGTTCCACAGATTAAAAATTAATACTTTTGGGAAGCTGAACTTTAGCTTACACTCATATTTGAATTTGCCTAGTAGCATCAAAATGCCTTTTTCTGTCAATTTTCTCTATTTCCAATAGATGCATTTTTAAAAATTCCTCAGTTGTACTCAGTGAAAACTAAGAACAATTAATATGACAGTATTACATATTCTTGAGGAGTCATAATAGTTAAACAAAGCACTAGGGAATTAACAGATGATAAATTATTCAGTTATCACATGATTTTTTACATCACTCCATTTTCTTGTTATTTTAGATAAGAATGAAAACTTTCTATGATGATGGGATAAGAAAATGTTTCAAAATAGAGGGACAGTATCTCTTAGATCCTATTTTATTAACCAAGATTCTTCTTTTCTTCAGAAATTCTAAGAAAGGATAAAAATCATGTTAATTTGTACCAGTAGTTTAACTTTTCAGCATATATTCCTGTAAGCTAGAAGTGGAACAGTGAAACCTAATGATGTAGAAAGGGTTAAACATTGAATGTTTTGGTTTGTTTTTTTTTTTAGACTGTCAGTGATACCAAGAGACAGTTTCTAAAACTCAGTGTCCCCTTAAAATAACAAAACAATTCTCTAATTACATTTCCAGTTCAGTGTGTCTTAGTGGCTTATGTATAATGATCTTATTCTTTTGCAGAGTTCCCATCCTACCCAGATTCAGCATGAGAGACAAGATCCCAGGATTAATCATGTAGCTTGTGAAACTAATCAATATTTTAAACACCAGTCACTCTGTAGGAGGATAATAGAATCTTAAGTGATTTATCCATGATGAACTCAGATCAGTGGAAACCTAGGGACCTGATTGCAAATGTTAATTTGAATTCAGTGTTCATGATCCCAGCGTAAATCTCTACTGACTGAGGGAGCAGAGGTGAAGAGTGGGGGTAGGAACAGACTTGGAGAGAAGAGAATGTTGGAGAAAGGCTAAGGTCAGAGTTCTTGACTTAATGTTAGAGCATTCATAAGCAGGTTATGTTACCAAGTGTAGAAACAAAGGACCAGATACCCAATAAAGTTCTTTTAGCATAATTTTTAGCATAGGAAATTATTGAAAAACAATATATTCATTCTTATATTATTAGGTGATAGTAAAATAAAAGAAGTGTAATAAATGAACACTATATAAATAACAATTTAAAAATTATAAATACCAGAACCCTAAATATTCTGTAGCTATAGTTTTAGATGTGTGTAACCAAATGGCAGTGATGGTTTTTATTTGGGTGTTGCGAATAAGTTGTTTTCCGATCACTGGGAAAGATTCTTGGATGGTTTACACTGCTGACTCTCAAGCTACATGTCTGTGTGACTTGGTTAATATCATTGTTTTACAGATAGACCCAAGACTGGGTTGCAGTAACTGCCAGAGTTACTGTGGTGGGTTTTGGTCTTTGCATGGCCTCTTCTCCAACCCCTTCTGCAGAAATCCAAGTGTTTCACTCAAGATGTTGCCCCTGGTGGTTCATATAGTTAGACCAAAGATTTACATCTACTCCAGGCCATTTCCTTCACAGGCTAAACAGTAATTCATGTGGCCTGTGACTGTGAAGAAGAGTAGAAGAGGTGTGGCTTCAGAACACGGAGAACAGCCTGTGATTCTGGTGACTTGCCTTGTACCCTGCAGTACAAGTCCTTTTCTCTCCCTTAGCTATCTTGGCTAGATACCTGTGCATCCAAAAACCAAAAAGGTATACACAGTGGGCAACAGAGAATAGGTTTGAACCTTGAGTTCTCTACAGTCAAAACCTTTTATAATTTTCACTGTGACCTTTCAAGATAATCTTACATTAGGAGGTATATTTTTTTCTTCTTTTCTGTAAGTTCTACTTAAAGCTGTATATTAGAGTTAGTGAAGTTAAATAGATCATAACTGGTAAGCCAACAGGGCCTTCACAAATATTAGTGGTAGTTAAATCGAACTAGTTGGTAAATTGGAATTTGTTTTCTTTCAGGAGAGGAAGAAGCTGACTTTTAAAGAAAAGTAACACATGTAGAAAGTGAAGATATGACAATCTTACTGTGTATAGCAATCTAATGCGAAGGGCACGGGAGATTGCAGGGTGGCTTCTCCCCGCAGTTCCCTTACTTCACAAGAGACTGGTATTACTCATCCATACTGCTTATACCTGTGCAGATGTGTACAGTGATCTGCCCTTCCTGCCTCCCTATCTCCCTCCCTCCCATTTCCTTTTCCTCCTCATGCATGCTAGGCAGGTACTCTGCCAATTGAGCTATGTTCTCAGACTATAAAACCTCTTTTACATGTAACAATAGTCTTGTTATATGGAATGAAATGACTTAGCCCAGAGATTTTCAACTGGGAGCACTTGTGTGTCTCAGAGATATACTGGCAATGTCCAGAGATACTTTTGGTGTCATAGTTTAGTGTATAGTGGTACTAATATATGAACCAGTGATGGTGTTTAACATCCTACAGCCTATTGGGCATCTCCTCACAAGAAAGAATTCTATGGCCCAGACTGTCAGTGTGGGCTTTGAGAAGCCCTGCCTAAACCGACCTTGGCCTGGCGGTTTCTATGCTTGCTGTTTACTTTTCGCCCTCACTTAGTATCTTTTAGTTGGCTGTGCTCTGTCCTTATTGTGTTCACTCCTTCATTAAAGTATTTCTTGCCTAGTCTATTAATTAGGAAATGTGAGTTTTCTACTTTCTCCATCTCTTGTTTTACCTGCCATAAATTTAACCAACTGTGTACTTCGAGTTACTTGTACTAGAGCTAACGTGTGCTAGCTCCTAAGAGCAGGTTCTAGGCATGAAATTAGCCAGAGTGGCAGTATTTATACCTCGTAGCCTGGCAACTGCTACAAATCTGAACTCTATTCTCCCCTTCACCACAGAGCTAACCTGCCACTAAATGAACTCTCTTGGCCTGCTGTCATGCAGGCACAGCTTTGAGAAAACATACTGAAAAATTACAGGCAATAAATCCAAATAAGGATATTGTGATAGTTGTAGTAGCATCTTAGCCTAGTAGATCTTACATGTTGCCAACTATTGTTAAAGCATTAGTATTTATAACTTTGTTGTACATTTCATTTCCCATTCTTTAGTTTGTTTCTGACTCTTAGAAAGTTTCCAATTGAAAATGAATGAACCGGTCTTTGTTATGTGTCCTTGTAGGAAGCGGTTTGACAGGGCTGAAGCTGAGTACATTACAGCGAAGCTGGATTTACAGCGCAAAACTGAGACAAAAGAACAGCTCACGGAACATCTCTGTACCATCATCCAGCAGAACGAGCTCCGGAAGGCCAAGAAGCTGGAGGAGCTGATGCAGCAGCTGGACGTACAGGCTGATGAGGAGGCGCTGGAGCTGGAGGTGGAGGTGGAACAGTTGCTTCGAGAACAGGAAGCAGAGGCAGGCAAACAAGTGGTTCCTATAGAGAGGCTGGGTCAGCCTGCTGGGGAGAGTATGTCTTCAGGGTCTGCTGACTGCAACAAAGAGCCTCAAGTGCAAGCTGCTTCTGCAGAGGCAGACAAGCCGGGCAGACATTCCAGTAGCCCTCCCCTTAGACTAGACTGCCCAGGAGGAGCCAAGAACTTTTCAGCTGCTGTAGCCACATGAGGGGCTGGTATTTGTTCAGTTAGCATATCTATGCTGTAAATTACAGCCTGTCAATAATAAGAGTTCTTTAAACCTGTTTGTGTTTGAATCCATGCTTAGTGTTAGTATGTTTACATACCTGGTCATTCCCAAGTCACAGACTGTGACAGTTTCATATCTAGGGAGTTTTGACTATTCAGTGTTCCTTCAGTCCTTATTACTGAGTTAAAATAAGTGAATGAAAGGATGGAAGAGCCTGGGACCCTGCGTTTAAGTTCCAACACTACAAAAAGAGCAAAGTGGTAGAAGAAAAACTACATGGCCAGAGTGTTTGAGCAGGTAAATTCAGAAAAGCAGAGGGTTCTCAAACCTTGACCAAATGTGGGAAAATATTGACTGCATGGTCTGTTTATGCAGTCATTAAAAAGACAAAAAAGTACCTTAGAGAGAGGAGAAGAGAAAAACAGATTAAATTACCTCTCTGGTTACTACTGGAGAAACTAAACACAACTTGGAAATCACAGCTTATTTTAGGAACTAAACATCTTAAGCCAACATTACTTTTCCCTTTAATTTGTCTGTAAATGGTTTCTTGTTTATACCTAAATTTTGGTTAGTTAATATACATTTATAAACAAACTGTGTATGTGTAATTTTACTTTTGTTGTATTCTGTTTTCCTCAATCAATGAATTGACAACTAAAATTTAGACAAAGTGTTTCTAAAGTGAGTATGAAAATGGAGAATATTATTGCCACTTGGTTATCCAACAATGATGTATTCTCTCTCTAAAAGTCTGTAACATGGGCATTTTATATGTTGAATATTAATTATCATAAAGCATGTAAATTGTTAAAGTACTCATTGTCTAGGACTTTCATAGTTTGTTGATTACCTGTTCCCTAATACTTGGCCACTGCATTGTGCTATATGTGAATGTATACATAAATATTTTAGTTTTGCCATGAAGTATATTAGTATTATCATAAATTATGATCTATCAGAAATTATAAAAAATAAAAAATGTTTTCAGTCATAAAAAAGGAAAAGACAATTATATCCATAATACATTATAGAAAAGTTGGAGACATCCTATTTTTAGATTGTTTTTTAAAGTATTATCTTCTGATAATAAGAATTAAGAATGCTTTATATTTTTCTATGACCTAAGTTGCAAGAATAGTTTTCATTAATAACTTCTAAACACAAACATTTATTTTGTGTTTTTTTTTAATGAATGACATACATACAAATTTAATCTTCATTGCCCAATACAGTCTTATTTTTCTAAGGAATAAACAAGTCTGATGTGTTTACAGTATGGTGTTTCATTTACCTTAAAAAAAGTTTCAAACCTTTTTAATATGTGTTAACTACCATGTGTGTGGCACAGACTCATGGAAGGAGAAATGTGCTGCTTACCACACCTGGTGCAGCTCTATGCTTCTGTGATGTTTTCTGCTGCATCCACTGCATCCCCTCCTAACAGTTTTGCTTGGTAACTTCATTGTGTGTGTGTAGCTTTCAAATATGTGCTATAAAAGTTCCACTGAAACCCTTACTTTGACAAAGCATTGTCTCACCCAGCTTCCTAGGGTGGTATCTGCGTACTCAGGTGATGATATAAGTGACAAAATTATATTGCATAAGTTTTATGCAAAGGCAGCTGTAGCACATGTGTGCAAGGATCCAGAGCAAGTGAGTGATTCTGATGTGAGGACCATATGTACTGATTTCCCAGGATAGCCCTGGGACACATCCTTAAAATAATGCTTCCATCAGCTTTGATCTGTAAATTTATGAGTACATTTCTGTGAAGGAAGTCAGCCCAAAATTACTAATCATGCTGTTTGTCTAGTTATGAAGCAGTGTTTATCAGATTGTTGTAAGCTGCACTTACTGGCGAGCATAATTCTGTTTTAAACTTAAATGTAAAGGGTTTCTAAAAACTCCATTCCTGGTGACTACTGTTTGTTTTAAACTGGAGCCTTTTCTGTGGATTTTGGAGAAGCAGACTTTCTTTAAGAATGGTTCTCATTGCATTGAAAGTAACTTTTTTTCTTAACTTTTCACCTCTACATAATTCTGCTGAATTACAGTGCTTGCAGGTGGCAAATCTATTCTCAGAAGAGCACAGCTGGTTTGCAAGTCATGATAAAAATCTCTGATTGGAATTCCGAGAGCAGATCTCATTGCTGGACTGGCATTTGAGTTGCAGAGAAGAAATGCAGCTAGAAAGCCCTCTTATTCTTTGTTTGGGGTTAGCTATGTAGTACTCTCCAAGAGCTTATCTAACTACTCAGCCTCTTGTGGCATTGGCACAAACCAACTCAAGTTATTCTGACCCAGGCCATTCCCAGTGACCTTTATAAATGATGTTTGGGGTTTTGTATTTCTAAGGAGCCAAGTCAGCATTTTAAAAGACCTTGATAGGTATAACTTAGTCTGCTAGACACGACCTGAGGCCACTCTGGTCCAGGGTAATTATACCTCCTCCCAACATAGATCTAGGCCAGGCCTGACTTGAACTGTTCTCTGAAAAGGTGAGGCAGAGTGCTGCTTCCAGACTGCCCTTACCTTAATGTGAGGCTACTTCTACTTGTGCAAGTTCCTAATCCCAAGCAGCTGTCTTCAAAATGCAATGTCATCCTTGCCGTTGATCAAACAGTTGCATGTAGCTACTCCTACAGATGTGCTGTTGAAGAGGTGTATGATCTGTGCCCTTTTCCCCTAAGCTTGTGGCCTGATTAAGGGAGTATGACTAACATCTGTAAAAGTCGATGCAAAGTATCTTTAAATAATGGAAATCAAAAAAAAAAGTGGCTAGAATATTGAACATCTTTGTGTTTTAAATATCTCTAGTTGTTTTGGCATTCTATGGGTGTGACTAAGAACTACTACATTTTTACTTCACTTTTAGCACGAAAATAATATCTCCATGTTAGACAGTGCATTATATTGGAGGTTTTTTAAGTCTAGTCGACAAAGTACAAGCAAACTTCAAAGAAGTGTGGGGACTGGGGGAGGGGAGTGTCATAGACTTAAAAGTTAGACAACTCGATAACTCACTGGGGTGGCCAGTGCAAATCCTCATCAACTACTGGAAGAAATAAGGACAGATTTTTATGACAAAATTGATGGTATCTTTTCTCCCTATAATGGAAATAACGTGAGTATTAAGAGCTCACTCCAATTGTTGAATGTGTTCAAACTAAGGGGCAGTAATTATTTCATAAGCCAGGAGAAGATGGAAATGGAGCAGTGAGAAACGAAGGGTAACTCAACACGGAGGCTTGTTCAAAGCACATAGCAGAGAGTTCTTTCCGAGCCGAATGACTCCAGGAGCCTAAAATAGAGACAGAATTAAGCAATGAGATGTGACAGGGATGACATTTCTCAGTGATTGTAGGATGCCTTGAGGACTAAATCACTAGGCCAAAGGTTCATGTAAGGGGTGAAAATAACCTTCCAGGTCTAGTGCAGTGCTGTTACAGGGAGAAGAAGGAAATGAGTAATAGGAGTTAGAAAATTCTATCGTTGCATGAGCTATTACTTCAGACATTAGGTAATAATGCCATGTGTACAATACATGTGGCCATTAGTTCCGTCCGCTTGCTGTAGCTACACCAGGGGCTTCTCTTAAAAACTCCACAGAAATTGGCAACCTATTTACTTAGCCAACTAAAAACTAAGCGGTTCAGTCACAAACTTGAGAACCTACAGACATATATATGGAGCTACAATTTGCTAGAATTATGATTAGTTGCTTATGCCTGGGCTTTATTGCTAGGTGGGGGTGGGGTGCTGAAGGAACTATCCTGAGTCACTTCATGTGCAGTTCCTTCACTCAGACATGCCCTCAGTGACACTGTGATCCACAAACATCTTAGGCCTTTTAGCCCAAGCTCTCCCTGCTGTATCATTGTGCTACTCAAAGAAAACAAGAAGGCCCTAGATCAAGAGGCCAGTTAAATTCTACCTTGTGTTGGGAACAGGTCTTTAACCAAGAGGGAGAAACTCAATAACCATAAGGTAGGGTAAGGCATATCCAAAGGAAGGGGCTCTGGAACACCGTGCAAATGGAAGCTGGAGTCCTGCTTTGATTCTTCCCCAAGGTCCTCTGGAGTCTTCCCACTTCAGAAGACAGTAAATGTGTGAATGAAACTGTTTGGTGTGCCTTGATGTCTCCCACAGCACAGGGCAAAGCCATGTCCTAAACATAAGTTAGAGCAAATAGTGGTTTCTCAGGGCTCAGACTCTTTTCTGGTGACAGGTTTCATTCTTAAAAATGCATTGCAGGAAAAGATCTGAAGACAGTGTAGGGAAACCCAAACTTTCCTTCTAAGGCTTCAGTGACCTTGGGGATTAGGGGAGTGGTGGATGAGGGAAGTTTTGGCTGGCCTAAAACTTGCTATGTCTACCTGTCTGGCCTTGAACTTGATCTACCTGCCTCAAACTTCCGGTAGCTGAGATTACATGCAGGAACCAGTATGCTGGGCTACATTTTGGTAATTTTTATCTATGAAATAATCTAGGAGTAGACAGGAGTACAGGAAATACAAAATTTATCAACATGTAGGAAAGCAGGAGACATATGTCACATGACACCCACAAGGACAGGTAGTTGATGGTGGCATGGTTTTTCTGGAGACAGGAAAGTAGTATGTTGGCAATTTTAGAAAAGAGTAGATCCTTTTTAGTAAAACAAATTGGCTCAAGAGCAGACAGTGGCTTAGAACATGACACTTCTGTACTCTACATGATGTTAACTTTTATTCTTCCTGTAATATAAGGTTGGCAGTGAAATTCTAGAAACGACACTACAGACATTTGTGTTCCTCTTTGGGTAGAATTTGGTTGGGTAGATAAGAAAAAGGAGAAAAACTCTCCTTGTGCTTGTGAGTGGAGGTAAAAAGACAAAAAACTTTGACTATGAGGAAGCTTGCAGGGGTATAGAGCATGTCAAAGCATCAATTTTCTGAGGCCCTGGTCTTGAAGAAACTTAAACCAGTAGGTCACTTCACCATGAGTATCTGGAGAAGCACTCAGTACAGATAGATTTGCAGGTCCAACAGGCTCAAATTACTATTCAAAGTGAATGAAACCTACTTTTCCAGAATTTCACAATGTTCAATATTTACTAGGCTCTGAGTCTTAAGACTGCTTGCTTGTTTTTGAGTCAGGGTACTGCTGGGTGTCCCAAGCTTTCCTTCCATCTAGGATTCTCCTGATGCCACCTCTCCCATTTCTGAACATGTGTCATCATCCCCAGCTCCAGCCTGATTATTATCTGTTCGGGCTAGTATATGGGACCACTGGCCCCTAATGCCCAACCCTTAGGAATACTGTTAGCAAACCTGCCAAACTGGGATTGCCCAGCTCTGCTTTCTTTGAGCCACCTCTGTATCTGGGGATCATTGTGAATTTTAGGTACACTCCCTCATCTCTCTGTGATCCTGAGAATTCTCTAAGGTTGCCTCAGCCCCTTCAGTATGTATATACCAGACATAACACCAGGCATAAGGATCTCTAAGGCTTGCCACTTCCTGGGTCCCAACTAAGAAATGAAGCACTGACTGAGTAGTTAAAAACCCCACACTCCCTCCAAAGCTTAGCCAGAGGAAGGAGTAACAGAGCCCTGGGGACCGTGTGGCTTCCAACCCTCAGGCTTTGCCTTAAAATCGCCTCTTGTATCCCAGCCAGGGGAATTTTTATCTTATGTGGGCAGGAAAAAAAATTGGCTCAAATAGTCTTCCAAATCTTTTTTGTCTGAAGCCTGAAGCTGAGCTTTTTAAACTCCAAAGCCAAGAATTTGTCTCTTTTGTTCTCTGACTCTGCTGTGACAACTCTCCCTTGAGGCACAGGAATGACTTGGGGTCTAACTGCCCAGATTTGGGGGTGGGGAGGGTAAAGGGTAACAGGAAATCATGGGGGAAAACACATTGGTTAATACATCAAAATATTAGCCTGCTTCATTGAGATTTCTATTCTCTTTCCCATTCTCTGCTAAATGAAGACAAACCCCTCCTCTTTACTTACGTAGCATAGCTTGTGCGTTAGATAGGTTTCTTAGCAATCGGCTTAGTTCTGTTTGCCCCTTCTCCAGGGAAAAATGAAGTGCAGGCACTAGGAGAAGGAATGGAAAGACTGGAGTTGCAGACAGATTTCTGCATAGGGAAAGCCCTGAAGATAGGAAATGTCTTCAAAGCTGTGCTTTCTCTGGTCTCCATTCTTCCCCAGTTGTTGACTATGCATCCCTGCCTACTGCTTTTCACTGTTCTCTAGGAAGGGACTAAACTGGGGTCCCCTGGACTTGACTGACACTAGAATCTCTGGCTGTGGTGTCTAAATTTCAGTGGAGCGACTTCTGAATGGGCCAGTGTGCGCAATAGGCATCAGCTGAGCTTCAAAAAGACAAGATCCCACTTTCCAAAGTGTCTGCAGAATATCTACCACCACCTACAGAAAAGACAACACTTGGGAAAGTGAAGACTGAGTAGGCAACCTCTTGACTGTCTATTTCACTATTTCCTAAGTGGAAGTATTTCTAGCTTACTAAACAAGCATGGCAGTTGATGCATACCTACCCTGCAGTAATTCTGCTCCTCGTCTTACAGCTTTTAATGGACATGTCTGGTCTAACGGACTGTCAGCAACTTGTGTGCACAAATTTAGCTCCTCTTCCTCACACAGGCAAACAGCCCTGCAGAACTGAATTTTTAATGCATTATTAGATGAATCAATGGATAAGGAACAAAGGGAAGAATTCATTGAATTAGTTCAAGCAATCAATGGATTCTATAAAAAAGAGAGATACCTAGCATTTTAGTTACTTTCCACGTCACTGGGGCAAAATGCCTGGTGAAAGCAATTTCAGGAAGGTTTGTTTTGGCTTACAGTTTGAGGATACAATGCTGTGCATCATGTTTGGGAAGTTGTGGTTGAAGGAGCTTA